AACTTGTAGTGCACCAGGTAAATACCTACTCTTAGAAAATTGAAAAAATAATTAGGTATGTTGTATAGTACATCCTAAAAGTGTAAAATATGAGTTACTCTTGAAAAAAAAGACTTTTCTTAATTGTTGAACTGACGTGGAACAGGAAGTAAATCACAGTAAAAGTGCTACATTTTAACCCCACAATACCCAAAAGAGTTTTACAAAAGAGAGTATACATCATAACCACCACCCCAAAGGCAGACGTCTAAGTACTTGAAAAATAAATAAATAAAATAAACAACTAGGTAAAAATACCTTAACAGAAAATTACTTTGGTAAAAAAAAATATTTCACTGATGAGAAAAGTTCTTAAGTAAAAGTCATAAACCTGTTCACAAAAATCAGGAAAGTAAACGTACGCCAACACACTCTAATAAATATGGAGCAATATACATATATTCTACATATTACAAAGCTTCATATTTAGGTTTAGTGGAACTAACTGACACGACTTGATTGAGTAAATTCAACACATTAACAACTCCTTCCATGATGAGTTCACACATATTTAATTTTTCAACGAGTAACTGGGTGTTAAATTTTAAATTAAAAAAGTAAAAAAGTATCATTTTTAGGTTTTAAATGATATGAAATAAAAGTTTTAAAATACTTTAATTACAAATCCTCAAAACAATTACWTAAGTATTGTAACAAAGTAAATGTACTTAGTTACTAAAAACCTCTTCCCAATGGTAAACTGAACGTTACCCACTTGAGCTTACTTAATAAAAGGTTTAGGTGTGAAATAAACTGRAATGGAGCTTGAAAACAAAATATCTGTGGTTGGAGACTGTGTGAGTGCCCGAACGTGGGATTTAAAAAAAACTAAGCGGTTACCTACTATAGATACTGCAACTGGTACCTTGTATGTACAAGTTTAATAAGTAATTTAACAATGCAGACCAGTCCCCACAACAAGAACTACAGTTTTAATTGACCAGTTTCTAACAAACTAAATTAAGATTTAATATTTTAATGAATACATTTCAGAGATTCAAAAGAGATGTCCTGGTTCTAATTCAGAGCAAACAAGCAGTTTGTGATTTTTTTTGTTTGTTTTCTTACCTCACATTTCTAAAGTGTGTTTAACTGTTCTCCCTGTAAGGACAGTGTTTGATGCTCCTACCGATGGCCACAATAAAACCACTGAAAGTCATTAACATTGATCTTTTCATTGCATCGCAATGTTCTGCAAGACAAACTTGGGTCCCGTGATATTTATGCYACGTTTCCTTCACACACATTATCTGCCTGAAAAAGAACAAACAGACTTTTAAAGCTAAAGAGCGTGACGGGGAACTGTCACATCTCCAAAATACCTCTGGAATAACTTAGCTCTTATCATTTCTGAGGAAATGTTTTTTTATTTTAGTTTTTTTTCCCCATCAGAGGTTCACGCAAAAGCTTTATACTTGAAAATCCCGTTAAGAAATGAGTATAACCCACTGCTTCAGACTGAAATTTTATTTGAATTATTTTTATTTCTTGCTCTTGTAACTGGAATCAGGTTTCTGTACATGAAGCTATGATCCACTCAGAACCCGTCCCATTCCCCATCTCAGCCATTTCTTTCCTCTGTTTTCCCTGTCAGCTGCCCAGGGGACAGCTGGGCAAACACTGACCCAAATCTGCCCCCTATACCCCACAGCCTCTTAATCTCTGCATGCCCCCGCCGGTTCCCCTATTCAGGCCCTTGCTCCATCAGTTGGCCCCTGATTTCAAACGGCCCATTTTACCAAGTAAACCACTGGTGGTGATGCCCACCCAGTCCTCCAAAAGGGAAGAAAAAAAAAGAAAAAAGATGCGTGAGACTCTGGGATTCAAAACACTGAAGAACTCAAATACTGAAGGTTGAGCCAAACAAGGTACAGGACCTACCCTATTTCTTACTTTATTTTAAAAAACACTATAATTTCATGTTATTAAAATAAGTTTTTTCTAGAAAAAAATGTTATTTTTTTCCTTTAAATTTTTTTTTACCAACATTTACTGATCGTTTGCAACCACCATTTGCTAAAACAAGTTGTTCCTCCTAAGGCCAGATGTTGTGTTACATAAAGACACACATCTCCATCCTTTGACTTTAAGCTGGGAGGGAGATTTCTACTTCTGGCAAAGTAACTGCTGGAGTCGTTCCTGTCCCTGGTGTGAGTGCACACCCTGGGGTCTAATTAATACAACTCGCTGTGCATCCATATGGCTTTCTCAAACTGAGCGCAGGAGAAACAGAAGGCCAGAGAAACACAAGATAAACCAATGGCGGGCGAGGTTTCTTTGTCCATTTCTCCCACATCGATAAATGAGAACATACAGCACCTGCTGCTTCACTCTGCCTCCAACAACTTTACTTTGTTCAGGACAATGAAACAGGAAGCCAACCTTGGCACAAAGCACAATTAAACCCTCTGAAAAAAATCAATGAGGAAAATGTTTCAGTCAATCAGACAGTAAAAGCCATTTTTATGYTTTTTTTTACTGTAAAAAAAGACACTTTGTCAAGGCCACACATGTAAGAGATGAAACAAAAGAGAGTGAACAGACCTTGAAARGCTTTCTTCGTGGTGACGAGGGACAAACAAGAAGAACAGGCAGCAAGATAAAGTGTTATGTTTACTCACTGAATCATCTGGTGTAATATTTAATGTTTGTTTTAAATATGGTCTGTTTGATTTAATGCTGTTTTTGCTTTCAGTGAAGTCACAGAACATGTAGGACAATTTCAGAGTCACTCTTATTGGCAACTTAAAACATTGCAGGGTTAAGAATAAGTTTTAGCCTTGCTTCTTAGACTTTGACAATTTATTTACAGAAAACTAAATAACTAAGTGAGATTTAGGATGCAAGTTTAGTCCACAAAAACCAAAAGGTGAAGACGAACAATAATGATTTTGCTTTTGCAGTCATTGAGCTATCGTTCACAGCATTTAGCAAATCCCCATCAACAAACTGCTAAAACAAAACACAAAATTAATAAACCCTCACATTTTCCAAAGCATTACCATCTTATAAAACCACCAGCAGCAAAAAATAAATATTTTTTCACTTACTTTTGATGAATAATTTGTCCTCTTTTTCTGACCCAAAAGTAACCCAAGATGGCCGCCAAAGCAAAGATATAATCCTTTCTTTTATGACATTTTGTTGTCACAAAAATCCCTCTTCCTTGTCTCGAAGCACTCAAAATACTTCATAAATATATTTGCACTTTAACAGCATTTTAGCCAGCTTACTGAAACTAAACAAACAACAAACAATAAAAACATGAGAAAATGGCTGCTTCTTCCAGAATGTTTCATTTCTGTGTTTGTAAAACGTCTCCACCCCCAAAAATTGCACATCGAACAAAAGGTAACTCGATTGGCTACACAACCATGATGTCAGAATGAAGCTCAGAGCTGATTGGCCAGTTCTAGAATCAATCAATCAGGGTGGGACATGTGGATGTTTCTGCACATTAATTGACCTCGGAGAAGCTACATATAAACCCAGTTWGTCAAAAGAGATCAATTCAGTTTATTTATAGCACCAAATCACAGCAATTGTTGTCTCAGGGCACTGTACACACACCCAAAAAAAAATAAAAAAAATAAAAAAAACAATAAATCTAAAGAAGTTAGATTGTGTTGAATCACTTCATCACAGTCTCCCATCCTGAGCAAACAGTGGAGAGGAAAAACTCCCTGCTAATCAGGAAGAAACCTCCAGCAGAACCAGGCTCAGGACAGGCGGCCATCTGCCTCGACCGGCTGGTTGAGGGGCAGGAAAGAGACACAGACAAACACAAAGCAAAAGAAGACAACCAATCTGATCATGTTAATGATCTAATATGTAKATTCAAAAGCCCTGGCAGCATGTTGGGTTATAGATGCAGGTTAACAGGTGTTAATAAAAAGTTTCTGTACAGAAAAGGAGTGAAAGAGGGGCTTGTGGAGTTACAATCATGTGGAATTTAGAGCAAAGCATTGCAGTTCCACTTTATATAGACCCCAAGTGAATGATTTAAATGTGAAAAAGAAAGATTTAAAAGCAGGARWTGTCTCCTTTAAAATTATTTTAGTACAAAAAGCAAAGAGTGATGTGTAGTCTTTTAATTTTAAAACCTGGACAGAAACAGCGTTATTATGGTCTTGAATAAACGGCACACCTGAAAGTGAACTAGTTTCTCAGTTTTCCCACCCGGCTCCTGGGTGTAAGACTGTGAAATCAGCAGTTTGCTTCGGGGCTCTCRTGTGCCCTCTGGAGAAATTTCTGCACACTTGTCTCAAACCTTCAATTTAGGAGACTTTCTTCAGAAAATATCCGACAGTTCGTGGTGTTCGTGTTAAATGGGATCACAAGGGAATCTCACATAGTTTTTTAAAGCTTCTGAAAAGAAATTACAGCAGTTTAATTATTCGAAAAACACACACGTTCCACTTTTTTTTCCTTTTACATCATCCTCACACCCTCCTGTATCCATCCTCTGCTGTCTTAAATCAGCCTCACTCTTCCATCTTTTGCTCCCTTTGTTCCACCCCCATTCCTTCTTTGTCCTGCTCTGCACATCAGTGTGCACACAGGGGGATGCGATACCTCCCCTTCCCCCCTTCCCCATACTTTACCCTCAACCCTCCCTTTTTCCCTCCTTAAGGGAGCTGGAGCACATTGTACACAGGAACCAGCGAGGAGTCTATCTGAACGTGTTCGCACACGTGTTTCACCGATAAATGAGGAGATACGAGAGCGTTTTCATTTCCTGTGAAAATGTAGAGTGAATGCTGGGAGCTAAAGGACATTAATCAAGATGCTGAAATTGAGCTGTTAAAAGATAAAGACAACAGAAGCAAAACAATGCAGAAAGGAAGCTAAACAAAACGGAATAGCTAAAAATAGCAAAAATGATGACCAAAAGATAAAAATGGCAAAAAGAAAGCCGAATAGCAAAACACCAACTAAAAAATAAATTGAAAAAATTGAAACATTTTTTTAAAAATATGTTAGCAAAAGGCTAATAGCAGCAAAACAAAAGTTAAAGATGATAAAAGTAGCATAACGATAGCTAAAGTTTTTGAAGGAATTAGCAATCTTAATGTATTTCTGAGGAAAACAATTTAAGCAAAGTTTTCTTTTAAAGCCGGGTTCACACCAAACGCTTTTTGAGCAGCAAAAATGCGCCCAACGCCTCAAGTTGGACGCATTACGTTCAGAACGGGACACAGATTAGACGTGTGTCTGAAGAGGGAGGAGCATCTTAATCTTAAATGAAAGTGGTATGGTGTCTTGGTTTTTTTTTCCTGTCTGTCTTTAATGACAGGTGAAATAAAGATAAAATATTGAAAACGGCTTTGCTTTATTTACTGTAAGCAAGCCAACGTTGCGCTCATCAGATAATTAATTCAGCAGATAATTTAGAGGCGGTTTGTTTGATTCTTCAGGAGCTGCGAGCTGACAAATAATTTTTTTGTTCCTAGCTCAGTTTAACGAGCCGCTAACCCGCTTCGGTGCTGATATCTCCAGCCAGAACACCAACTGTAGACGGTTGATTTCAGCTAAAGAGCTCCTGTTAGTCTGTTTCAGTTTAATCGGCAACATTCAGGAAACCGTCACACGGAGAAACAATTCTCTCTGATTGGTTGAGGCGGCGCGTCGAGCAACAAAAGTTCAATATTTGAACTCGAGCAGCGGTTGCTTTGGACGCGCTGTACGCACGTAAGATGCTGTACCGCACGTACCGTTACTGCGCCGCGCTAAACTGGCTAAACACGTCGCTCTGCTCCTAGAAGCACGTTCACCGTAGACTTTGCATGTAAACTGGCTGCTTCGGCTGCTCAAAATGCGTCCGGTGTGTACCCGGCTTAAGACTTTTGCTGTCTTCTATGTGCACGAGTGGTACTGTTGGCGTCAACGTGTCGTGATCAACAGCTCATCCTGGAACTAAACAGGGTTTTCAAAGATGAAGCCATGGTCCTAAAAAATAAAATACAATAAAATAAAATAAAGAAAAAATACAAAAATAAAGATGGACTTTCCTCTGTAGGTTTGGAGCGAGATGATTGTGGACAAGAACGGGCTGTCAGATGGGTTGGTGTGGCTTCTGCAGGATTGTGTTCTCTGTGTCGGTTCGTTGTGTAAGCTGAGCTGCAAGTTCCCAAACTCCCGCTTGTTTCCGAAAGAAAAGACCGCCTGATTTATCTCTGAAACCCGTATAGATGTATTATAAGGTCAGCCCCGCAGCCGGCGTGGTCATCGGCTGTGGAACGATTCCCTCGGCACACATTGCAATCACATCAGCCCTCCTTCTCTCAGAAACAGTTGCTCCATTAATGTGTTCGGTGCCATGTCTCCTGCGGCCTCAGCATGTTAATGCTCACACTCTATCAGTCACCCTCCACCACAACGCAGTCCATCTTAAACCAGAGCCACAGGCAACGGCACAGACCGGGGAGAAGTGGCAGAAACCACACAGGCCTTCACCCAAATCTGCACACGAGAATATTCTCACGTGGCTCAGTGAGAAACGCAGCTGGAAGACTATTTTCCTTACAAAACATGCTGTTCAAATGTGGACGGCCTTATATCAGTTGTATGACGTACTTCAACTTTTTTCTTGCAGTGTTCTTCAGTGTTGTGGGGGAACTTCTTGTCTGTGAGTCTGACCCATATTTCTAAATCACCTGAACATTAGAGTTGCTGGTATCCGCGTTTCAAACCACCAGACTTGTTCGGCAGCATAAAATTCCTCCTACAGTCAGCCCACATGATGACCTGCTGGATGAGCTCGCTGATCCCTGGTTTCTGCAGGGATGAGTCCTCCAGTTTTCTGCATCCTGATGTCGGCGACCCGCGGGGGGGTTCTTGTAGTCTGTGTGTGAGGAAGRGGAAACGCACCAAGAGACGCCCCGACTAAAAGTAATGCAACAAAAAGAACTGGAGTATTTCTGCACACCACCAGCAGATACAAACAGAAGGAGACATATAAATAATCTCTCATATCCGTTACTCAATCAACTCCAACAAGTAATAGTCTTCTTATAATAATTGARCTTAAGTCAGGAGAACAGCATGAACTAAACAGAAATCATCAGAGATTTAGTTATTAATTGATTATGCAGTCAGGAAATTAATATAAATGTATTTCTGAGTCATATTTTTTCCTCAGAGTTTAGATGTAAGGACAGATCTAACTTCTTATGTAGTGTTTTTAGGAGAAGGTGTAAAAGTGATGCTAGCTGCTTAGCATAATAGCTAACTGCTGGGCTAAATGCTATTATAATCATTCTCTTTCCCAGTTGTTACATCTGTGTAAGAGTTTTGAAAAAAATCCTCAACTAAAGCAGAAACCTCTGAGCTCTTATCTACATTTTAAAAAATGTAATCTAGAACATGATTTAAAAAATTATATTTTGCAGAATAAAGACACTAGTCACAAGCTCAGCAAATCCTAATAGGTTTGTGGTCTTACAGTATATTACATAACTTTAGGGTTTATCATTGTTTTTATAAGAAATTGATTCATTTATTTGGTAAAGTGTTTTTGATAATGTGTTTGAAAATGTATTCTAACAGCAGATTTAGTCATTTCCTGTGTGCAGTTTCTGTGAGGTCATCAGACGTAGAAAATGATTTGATGTAAACACACTTTGCCAATAAAAGCCAATCCTACACAATAAATAAAGAGTTCAAAAAAAGAAACAAACAGGAGCTGACGCGATGGTTTTGATTATTTACAACAGGAGTAAAATGATGCCACATGGGACGGATGTTATAGCTGGAAAATCTGGAATCAGTAAAAGAAAAGAAAAAAAGGAGAGAGAAAATCCTGAGGTAGCTGTATTTGACTGGTGATGACTGGTGCGACCTTTGACCCCCCTCTCCCTCAGCCGCTCRCTCTGAGACGCTAAAAGCTAATCGGACTGCTGCACCCCTCCTCSTCGTCCTGAGGGTTCGCTGAAAAATTGAGGTCTTTCTTTAAACGGTGTGGAGTCAGCAGGAACCCGGGCCTGGTTGTGGTGGTCCGGTCAGGGATAAAGTTTTACAGTTTTTTTTCATGTTCAATTTGAGCTGTTGCGTGTTTGTTGGTCTGTGGAAGGAGATTTGTCATTTTTCATCCCACCATCTCTATGGTTTAAATATGGAAAAAGAAAATAACAGAAAGAGCGCAGTTTTTTGTAGTTGTTTCTGTTCTCACTCCTCATTGACCCGACCTGTTGCTCAGAGCTGTCATTCAGTTCTGGACATAAGACCCTTACATTTTCATGCCTGTTACAAAACAACATTTTGGACGT